CTCAATCAAGAATTTGCCCCCCTCCCCCTCCCCCGATAGTTGGCAAATTCTTGTACATCACCTTTATTATTAAATAAGGAAATGGGAGTACTCTTTCGCCAACTCACTGACATTTTGTTTTTTATCGAAATCATGTTGAACAAACGTGTTCCCAAATTTTCCAAGCCCTGGTCAGTATGCCATTTGGACCCACTACTTTCTTTCGCCCCTGCTTTCTCAGAGCCTATTTAAGTTCTATCCTTTGGATCTTTCTCACAAAGTCCTTATTTACCATACACTCAGGTATAGTAAGATCACCAATCCATTGCACTTTATTACCGTTGAACAAGGTATCAAAGTATGAACTCCACTTCTCTTTTATTTCCTCGTTCTCCGTTAGTACCCTTTGTGCATGTAGAGTCGTTGAAGATTTTTTACTTTTTAATTTTATTTTTCTAATTTATATATGTACCTTTACCTCTAACCATTGATGTAAAGAAAAAAACTTATAAATTAAGACAAAAATTATATATGTTTGTATAGATTCTTAAATTTTATTATTATTCAATATTTACAACATAATGAAGTTAAGTGATTAATTATCATATTATTTAATGTGACAATTCCATTATTCATGCATGTCAGTGTGTCTGTGTGTTTTATACACATACAAACACAAACTTTAGTTATCATATTTATGCCAAAATATTGTTAAAAATATAATTTCTATGTCCTTGACTAATCCCCGCTTAAGTGCCCACCTAGCCTCATAGTTCTTGAGCTGACGTCTGCCTAGCACCTAACGTCTTTTAGAACATTGGTTCAAATCATCAAATCAGCTAGATGGACATTTGGAAATCGGAATCACTTAAATCAGTTGGTATATTATACGAAATATATTTTTACCTCTATTTATGAAACAGGATCTGAATCTGAGCAGAGCGGCGGAAAACCCCTAATTTCATAGAGTTACCTCAAAACAGTTGGCTTGTATAGAAAGAATCGAAGAGCACAGAGCCAACAAACAGAGTATTCAGAAGGACACGAGGCCAAACAATGTCTTATGATGAGGTGGATATTGAGGATATGGAATGGGACGATAAACTTATGGCGTTTACATACCCTTGCCCATGCGGAGACCTGTTCCAGATTTCAGTGGATGATCTGAAGGGAGGTGAGGAAATTGCTAAGTGCCCGAGCTGCTCCCTTTACATCACTGTCGTCTACCAAACTAATGATATTTTAGAGTTCATCAACTCCAAAACAAACCCAGCAGCTTCCTTCAAGCCGCCGGCTCTTACAGTCCCTTGAGATGCCACTTACGTCACAATGTTTGGGCTATTTTCATAAATTAAATTAAATTAAATTATGCACGTTGTATATTTGTACTTGTAGTTAGATGCTGCAAATCAAGAATTCTTCAATGTTTTTTGTCCAATTTTTTTCACTATTTGCATTTTTTTCACTATTTGCTCATACCTCTGCCTTTGATGACCTTTTCTTGGACCACTTTGGATCATGATGATGTGTTTTCCTTATTTGTCACTAGACCTTTAAGAGTTAATATTGTCACAAAGTATGGCTCTCCCTAGTACAAACATCGATTCATTTGGTTTACTTTTCATACATGCCAAATTGTTTACTAGTTAATCCACCATCACATGAATAGACAGACCAATGGAAAAATTTATGTTAGATGCTAATCTTAGCCTCTTATTGATGAAGTGTCTATTGAGAAAAAACATTGATTCATTTGGAGCCAGTTTGGTAGCATGAAAACCGGCTGATTTGGCTGATTCTGTTGAAATTTACGAATTTCTGGTTGAAGTAGCTGTATTGGCTGATTCTGCTGATTTAAGAAAAAAATATTTATAAAATATATTTTATTAATAAATAAAAAAAAGTTATATGTAAAAATAGCTAAAATGATCATCTACAGTAACTTCAGCCAATATAGTCAGAAATTAACTCCAATCTTACTTTTTTTGCTTTTACACAATCCAGCGCGCGAAAGCAAAAAAAGTTACGTGTTCGGTGAAAAAGTTGGCTAAAAAGTCTGATAAGCCGAAAAACAGTGTTGCAAAATGCCCTCTTGGTTTACTTTTCATAGATAGCAATATGCATATCATTGTTGGCACTTGGCATGCATATGTTATATTTTATTACCTCCACCCCAAAATTGTTGCCATTTGATAGGGTGCAAAATTTAAGAAACTGAAAACTGTGTTGGTAAGAGATATTTGGAGGAGGGAAGTAAAGCACTCATCGGTGGTTAGTGCCATATCACATATTATTGCTTTGTTCATACAGAAATTAGTAATCAATTTTCGGGTGAGTGAAAAGCGAAAGTTGGAAGATGATTTATGGACGGAGTCTAGAGGGAGCAGTTTAATTTCGCTAAACGTCGCTGCATCATATTGTTGCCATCAATATTCCCGGTTTATGATATATTCAACTTCCTTTGATTCTGGCTATGTAGTTATTTTGAAGCTAGTTGGAGGCTTGGAGCATGTGATTTCTCACTTTTAGTTGATGGCAGCCAGAGCTGAAAGTAGGATTTCTCACTGTTTTTACTAAGATTTTAATCTTTTTAAACCATTGAATCTATTTGCCCGGTTTAATTTCATGTTTCAACCATATCGGTGTGTTTACAACATTTCGGCCATTTGAACCCTACTCCATCAATATTCCCTAAGCCCAAATTTCCAACTAAACCTTAGTTTTAAAGCCATACTGATAGACGCTATATGTCTTTGATTCAATTCACATTCACAAGAGGTGAGTTTGGGAATATTTTCTCAAATGATGTTCTCCCTAATTAAGCGTGGTAGTTTATAAACAATGATAAAAATCTAATGCATTGTTTGAACGACATAGACTTAATTCTTATAAAAGCTTGGACGTGAACGATCATATTTACATGGGAAAAGGGTCAAATAGACCCTCAAACTAACTTAAAAAGTGTAAATCACCCCTTATATATGAGGCTTTGTCCGGCCGTCCCCATTTGGGGCGGTTCCAGGTGAAAGTTTTTGATTAACTTTTTGGAGCATCTTCTTCATTAAGCCATACCAAATTTCAGATAAAAATTCAACCGGGAAATGTACTGCGTTGTTTAACCGCGCAGTTATCTTCAAAAATTCATTTGAGAGCCTTACCGATTGAATTGTTAGCTAAAATTTTGTATGAGTGAACTAGACTTAACGAAAAAGATACTCAAAAAAATTCATCAAAAAATTCCATCGGGAACCACCTCAAATGGTGACGGTCACAGAGTCTCCTATATAAAAGGTGATTACACTTTTTAAGTTAGTTCGAGATCCTATGACCTTTTCCATATTTACATTGTTGGAAATATCATGTCATCTAATCTAGTTATCTAGTACTCCATAATCCGTACGTATATATTTTAAACTTCAATTTTGCTATAGGTACCCCAAACCCTACCCCAATTGTACCTCATATAAAAACCCACTCCACTTTTCTTCTCCCCCTTCCTCTCTCCTGCACCCCACCTCTCTTTCTCCCTCCCTCTCCTCTTTTCACACACCCCCTCCCTTCCCCTTTCTTCTCCATCTCAAAATCTTTACCATTTCCCTCTTCCAACCTTAAATCTTCTCCAGCTTATCTCCACTTCCACCGGTGACGTTGCTGACGGCGGGTCTACGCCGGTTGCTGACGGCGGATCTACGTCGGTTGCCGACGGTGGGCCTACGTTGGTTGCTATTTCGGATGCAACCTCAAGGGAAGACAACGACGAAGGCAAATCAAGAAGATTTGAACAACTTGAGCAGCAAATCTTCTTTTCTTGATTTTGTTTTCTTCATTTTTGATGTATTTTCGAAATATAAAGAGTTGTCTGTCAGACAGACAACTTGTAAGTGCAGTGTCTGTAAGAGTAATGAAATTGTCTGTCATTTGAAAAATAAATGTCTGTACGTAATTGATATTTGATTGTGTCATTTGTTTGTTAGTTGTCTGTATTTATTTTGAGTTGTGAAGTTGTCTGTAACTCATACTTAGTTGTTTGTCATTTCATTGTGAGTTGTATGTAATTTGTGGTGAAAATAATGTCTGTCTCGGTATCTCTATTGTCTGTCTAGTTATACGTATTGTCTGTCTTCTTTATGAAACATATTCCAAAATGGTAATTCACAATAAAGTAATGTCTGTATGTGTATACTTATTGTCTGGATGTGTATATTTAATGTCTGTCTCGTTTACTAATTACATCTCAAAAAATAAACATCACGAAATACAGACAACTCACAATCAAATACAAACAACTCAAAATAAATACAGACAACTCAAAACAAATACAGATAATTAACCATCAATTACAGATAGACAGACAACTTCACGACTCTTACAGACTTCTCATAACAACATGACAGACAACTCGAAACAAATACAGACAACTCAAAACAAATACAGACAACTAACGATCAAATGTCAGACAACTTCACGAGTCTTACTAACAAATACAGACACTGCACTTACAGTTGTCTGTCAGACAGACAACCATTTTTTTCGAAAACACACCAAAATTCAAGAAAAATATCAAGAAAATTAGATCTTCTCAAGTCATTCAAAGCTTCTTGGTCCGCACTTTCGTCGTTGCCTCTCCATATCAAGCTAACCAACGTCACCCAGCTCTCCCCTTCGTCCGATCTACAGTAGCTCTTGCATTTGAAATGAAAAAAAGGAAGAAGAGGCGAGAAGCAGGAGAAGAAGCTCGGAAGGAGAAAAGATTGTAAAAATGGGAAGATTTGATGGAGAGATGTTGAAATGGGGAAGATTTGATGGAGAGATTTGGAGAAAAGAGAAAGAAAGGGGAGAGGATGGGGGGGGGGGACTGCGTATGTAAAAAGAAAAGAGGGAGGAGAGAGGGAGGGAAGGAGAAGAAAAGTAGGGAAGGGGGAGGGGTTTTATATGAGGTAAGAAATGAGGTAAATTCGAGGTACCAAAAATTCTGGATCCAGAATCTAGAATACCCAAACATTAATAGCTTCCACTAATTATGAAAAATGAATTTTTTTGAATAAATAAATAAATTATTCTGGGATTCAACCACCACAGCCGATACTAAGATCTTCTCACGCGCCTCTATACAATGATGGAGTAAATTAGGTATGATAATCAAATACTTCGTACTTTCTCAATTCAGCTTAATAGTTCTTCGGTTTTCAGCGTACGATAATACTTGACTGATTTCCTGCTAACTTCCGCGTTAACTAGTTTGGCAATGCTATACAACCAACACGTTGCTTTTCTTCGTCCTGTCAAGCCACCCTATACCTTCGTTGGCAGGTTTTAAGTTGCATGTCTGTTACACCGGCGGAGCATTGGCTGCGTTTTCCGTTGACTTGCATAGTTTCATCTCCCTCCTCCGCCGCTAGTCAAAGCTCCGGCAGAACCCAGACTTTCACCGACTTATCTAAACTCCCACTGTACGCTTTCCACCGCCGACCATCTTCCTCGACGGCGGCCAAGCACTTGACCGGCCCAGTGTGTCCCGTCAGCACGGTGACACAACTATGGACCCCGCCGCCGCCTTCGAGCTCTCTCCTCCACACGCATATGCTCTTGTCCGCCGAGCCGCTCAGCACCAGGTTCCCGGCGACTGCCAGGCAGAGCACTGCGAGTTTGTGGCCCCTAAGAGCGCCGCCGTACGCCACAAAGTGCATATCTCGGTCCCAGAAGTTCACGAGCCCGTCGGAGGATCCGGCGTACACCGCCGTCTCCGGGCTCACAGCCAGCGACGTCACCGCACTTTCTTGACTCAAAAGCGTGTCCACCACCACGTGCCTCGTGATTCTCCCCACCAGTTCCCTCCTCCACGCTTTCACCGTCCCGTCGGCGGAGCCGCTGAAAAAAAAGCCGTCAAAACCAACGGTGACGGAGTTGACGGCGTCATCGTGTGCCTGGATGGATTCAATGCATTTCCAGTCGTTTAATCTCCAAACCTTTACCGTTTTATCCCAAGAACCGGAATAGAGTAAGCCTTGACTCATATCTACGCTCATGCATGAAACGGCGTCGTAATGTTTGACACGTGGAACCTTTCTGTGTCTTCTGACCGCCACGTAAGCCTTCGGGTTAATAGCACTCTTCAGATAATCGGTAAGAGTCGGTAAACTACCTATCCGCGTGTAAGTTCTCTTCTCTCCCCCAGACACTTTCCAGACCCGAATTTTACCGTCCTGATGACCCGTGAAAACCTTCCCTCTCCACACAACAATGGCCTTCACAAACCCGCTTTTCGACTTGAACCCGGAATGCTCCTCAAACCCGTAGTTGTTCCAGACCCGGATATTCTTACTTTCCGAACCCGTATATAAGAGATGACCCGAGGCCGCAAGCGAGTACACGTGTCCGTCCTGCCGGACCAGCGTGGCGATGAGGCCGGAGCTCTCGACGGCGCAAGGTGAAGGCCGAAGGAGCCACGGGGAGTTGGCATAAGGAGACGCGGCGGCAAGTTCGCTCCATGGGGAGGAGGGAGTGCTGGCGGTTATAGGACTGTTAGTGACAGCGGTACTGTAGAGCGGTGAAGTATCCCCGTTTTCTTCACGGTGGTCGTCTCTTAAGAGAGCGGGATCGGATTGAAGGAAGGATCGGAGCTTCTGCCGGCCGGCGGACGTTTCTTTTTCCAGAGTCAGCATAGTTGCAGTATTATTGCTCTTTCTCTTGGCCATGTATATGGCACAAATTTGTAGAAAATTAATCAATATGAATGAAATAAAAGAAGAACAATGATATAGTTATTCGTGAAATGTAAAGTAATGGTCAGAAAATTGAGGAAGAAATAATGCTATGGATTACAATGTACTGTATATTTTGTGCATAAAATGGCCAAATGGGAGATATATATAGAGAAAAATAAGGACAGATGGGTTTAGGACTTGAAGAGAAAGGGATATCTAGAAGGAAGGCGCGTGGGCATGAATGATTGGATGATATTAGTAGACGCTTTAAGATGATGCGTGTCGTACACGAAACCTATTTATACATATGCTGCTACAAAAAAGGGAAGATCAAGCTTCCTCTTCACAGTTCACACATGGGATTACATATTACTACCTCGGTTCCCATTTTAACTTCCAAATGGGTTTGACACAAAGTTTAAGATAATAGATATTGTGTTGTGGAGAGTTGTGCAGAGGAGAGAGAAATATGTAAGAAATGTTGTAAACCACAAATTCTTTATCAAAAAGGGAAAGTGGAAATTTTATTTAGAACGGATGAAAAAGGAAAGTTGGAAGTTTATTTAGGAACGGAGGGACTATATGGGCAGACCAATTTTCAAGAAAGAGATGGATCGATATTGCATAAAATGTGTGGACTGGACCAAGTGACAGCCAGGCTAGTTGACTAACTCATCATAATTCTATCACTAACTCATAATTCTTGCGCTAAATTATGTAATAATAATAATAAAAAGTAAGTCACACTTACTTTTGACAGTAAGTGTGACTGTATTGACAGTAGTTACTAAGGAGAATCATTTTAGCTGTTTTCATATAATTTTTGCTTTATTTTATTAATAAAATATATTTAAAATATAAGTTTTTCTTAAATCAACAGAACCGGCCAATCTAATCACTCAGTCAAAACTTCATAAATTTCAGCAACATGAGCGACTAATAGAGCCTTTTTATATATTACCAAATGGGCTCTTTGTGCATCCATTATCATAGGAAATATGGTTTAGCACTGCATTAGAAAAGAAAACAAAAAAAGGATGAGAATCATTATGTACTTGATCCAGAGTCTCACTCGACATTTGCTAGTCTGTGATTAAAAAAATTACGTTCTCCCAATTAATAATTACTAGATCAGTGCGAAGGAGCTCTCGAGGATGTGATGAGGTGTCATCCTTTTAACACTACAATATAAAGGATGACACCACATCCTTATGAGAATATAAATTGAGCTTTAATCTTACTCTAGTGAAAAAAGAGTGATATTTCATATCAAATCATTGTTTGAAGTTCAACTCGAGATTTATTCCTTATGATACTCTCTTTCTATCTAGTGAGCTACGTCCCTGATTAAGCACTACAATAGAAAGATGGCATGAAGTGAACCAAAATCGTGTCCAAGCCTCTCATTTGTTTCATGCAAATATGCAATCCACCATTGACCGTGCTTCAAAGATACGGAGTATAGACGAAGTATATGGATTACGGATATTGAGTTTGACCATTGACCATGGGAACAACAAGTAATAATAGTAAAATTGCGGAGTAATTAAATCCACGCGGATACCGTGTGGAGTGTGTTTTTCATTTGTTGTTGTGTTCGAAACATGCCTATCGTGTTCAAAACAAACTTCACTTGCATTCAAATGAAAAATGTATACTCATTCATTTCTGTCTTCAAAAAAATATGACCATATTTTTTTTTATTTTGGGCTTTTGTATTTTGATATACTAATAAAAATAGTGGTAGACTTACGGTTTTTTGGTGGAGGATTTTTGACGAATTCAGAAGGGAGGATAAAATTAATATTCGGTTTTTTATATACTCCCTCCGTCCCAATTTGATTTTCAAAATTTCCTTTTCTGGTTGTCCCAAAATAGTTTTCAACTTTCTATTTTAGGTATGTAAATAAGAATAAAGTGACAAATTTATCCCTACTTTTATTTTTTCTCATTAACTTAAAGACATCTATTTTTAGAAAGATGGGCAAAAGTGCAAAAAACAAGTATCATTTATTGTCTTTTATTAATCCTTGTGTCGGTTAAAGTTTGCAATTCAATTCGGGACGGGGAGAATTCGATTACACAACATTTAATTTGATGTATGTATACATTTAAATCTCATTTGTTTTCAAAGGCTTTTTCAGCAATTAAGAATATAGACTAATTAAATCCTTCCAACCGGTGGGCGTAGCTCAACTAGTAGCAAGAGAGTGTCACAAGAGTTAGGTCCCGGGTTCGAATCCCGACAACTGCGATGATGGATTACTATGCTAAAAATGCATAGAGTCTCTGCAAGTACCGGAGACAGAACTCCACTCTCTATCTGTCAGATTGGGATTATAGTCCAATTTACATCCCCAACGTACCGTCCAGTCGGGGTTGGAGGCCCTCAGAGATGGAATGTCCCTTTTTTTTAATTAAACCCTCCTCAACAAAATTGAATCCAAAACTTTTTCAAATAATGCTATTTTAGAACAATGTTCGGTACGTTGTAGGCAATGTTGAAATGTAATGAGCACTATCCACGTACTGAGTCAATGCATTTGATTTGACGTTTGATTTTGAATTGTAAAGAGATTCGCGGTCAGTAATGCACAAGTGAAAAACCGCTAGAACAATCAATTTCATCTAAAAACAATTTCAATTTATTAATCGGGGAATGTAACTTTAATTGCATAAAAATATACTCCCTCCGTCCCATATTTATCTCCTGAAGTACAAATGGCAAACAGATTAAGATAGTGAGAAATTTATGATGGAGAGTTGTGCAGAGGAAAGAGAAATGTGTAAGAATGTGTAAGAATGGTTGTGAACCACAAATTTTTGCTAAAAATGGAAAGAGGAGATAAATTTGGGACAGACCGAAAAGGAAAGTATGAAGATAATTCCGGGACGGAGGGAGTAAAAGTTTTCATAACCAATATTAATTTTTCTCACTTCAAGCGATCTGTAAACTATGGGAGTGTTTGAAAAACGGAGTTTCGGTCAAAAAATGACAAATGATTCCTTTTAGCGTTGTTTGATATTCCTTCCGTCCCATTGAAAGGTTCCGGTCAAAAAATGACGGTTGGACGTCTCATATAAGGTTTCTTATTTCAATTTTAAAAAACAATTAACAATGTTAAATGAAAAGTTAATCTATCATTAAAAATTGACAATAATACATTTATAACATCACAATTATAAACACTAACCTCATTATATTATATACTCCCTCCGTCCGAAAAGATACTTTCCACTTTCCTTTTTGGACCGTATTAAAATTAAAATTAATTCTCAAAATATACTCGAACTAACTTATTTAATTATTGTCTAAATAACCGTGTCATTTTGTCATAGAAACCTTTCAACTAACGGGACAGAGGTAGTATATAATTGTTCGACCCTTGCGTTTTTGGATGGAACCGCTGAAACACAAACACAACAAATAAGACAGTTTCGAGTTAACTTTTTGAAATATGGCATTTTCTACTGATTTTTATGATCAAACAACTAAATTAGCAAACATTTTCTTGCAACCCGCTAACTTATTCAGTTAGTCAAACCCGCTGACTGGATCCGCTATTGACAACCCGCTATCCACTAACTGCTAACCGTTAAATGTCAAACACGTCGTACGTAACTCATGATTTAACTTGGGAAGCTGGTTTATTGTCTAATTGTTCTCTATGATAATCTTCATCATGCATACCCATCCTGTAATAGTCACGTCGCGTTCTCGAGTTTGATTTGATTACTAGCAATTAATTATACCCATTTTGTAATCATCATTAATTAAAGATATAGAGATAATGACTTCTGTTAATTGTATGATAAACATGCTGACTTTTTTTGCTGTATTTTTCTTGAAAACAGATGGCCAGCCCGATACCAAAGAATTAACATCCCATTCCAGTATCACTGTGCATTCTTTTCAATCTTCGGTAAAATGCCAGCAAAAATGTCAACGGTGCACCGTTGAGATCGAACTACGTCCGACCTAACTAAAACGTTTCTTTCCATCAAATTGATATGTAGCCGCCACCAATTATTGCGTATTCCGGCTCCTCTCCGCCTATTTGCTTTTCGCGCCCTAGAAATGCATATATGCAACGTGGACTTCACCCGGCCCCTTCAAGATAGTCAAATTGGTTGTGATTTGTGAATTGTGATTAGGCCTGGGTCAGGTCCGGGTGGGAACGTAGTGTTCTAGACCCGGACCCACTAAGTTAATAATGAATCCGAATCCGACCCGTTTATTCGGTGGGTCTAAAAATTTGGATCCGAACCAAAATCCAACGTGTCTCGGAATCGGGTCGGGTAGACCCGCCCGCAAAGAATGACACGCACACCATTATAAACTTTGTGAAAATGACAAGACATGTACTTGTATGTGATATGTAAAGCAAACTGCACAAATTTAAAAGCAAAATATATTTCCCTTTTCAAAAAAAAAAATCAAGGTCTCTCATAGAAAATTAATACTTTTATCTAATAAAGTATCAGTTCTTATACAAGTATATAGCTCCACACTCTGTGTCATTTTCTCTCGCACAAAAAACTCGTAGAATAAACTAGAAATTAAGTCATAAAAAGGTCTCTTGGACTACTAAGAGTACAATGATAAGTATTAAATATTAAGACTTGGATGTTGTTGTTGCAATGATATAATAATATTAATAATACTAGTAATAAATATTGTGGTTTTCCTATCGAACCCAATACACACTTTATTAGTATGCATTTATGGCCAAAATGAGTATTAGTTTTAGGGTATCTTACTATCTCGATTAGTGTCACTTATATAGTAGTTATGTATTAATGTGTATATATTTATTTAAGAATCATAACTAATAACTTTTTTTTCTTTTTTCTTTTTACTCCAGGAGGGTCTAGGGGAGGAGGGTCGGGGGGCTTAAAGTAATCACGGCTGGAACTCATTCCATTGAGTTTCAAACTCTTGTGTGTCTAGCAGGTTTCGAACTCGAGACCTCTCACTAGGCACGGTAACCTCACAACCAGCTAGACTGGAATGCTTAGTTCTAATAACTTTATGTATTATTATGTATATATGTATATTAGTTTCTATTTTATTTAAAGTTTTATAATTAATCACTTGATGTATTAGTGTCTCT